TGAACTGATCAAGTGAGTTGGTGAGAAGGTTTCTCGTGGCTGTGTGCCGTTGGCTGCGTGCCGTTGCCAACCGTGAGTGTTGGTGTGTGGAGATTCCACAAAACTCAAGGCTAGGCTCAGGGGGAGTTTAGCTCAGGATTAGGTTATCCTGAAGAATCCATGTTATTGAACAGAGCGGTNAATTAAGAANTTGTNCTTGATTNACGCNTTTGCNAATAAGTTGTATTTGCTTTCTGGTTCTAGTGGATTTGATTTCTGGACGTGGTCCCGGGGAGTAGGAAACGAACCCCGTAAAAAATTCTCTTGTGTCTTTTATATTCTGCACTATATTTTGTCTCACTTGCGTTTACATTATCCACCGACGACAATCCTCCTCCTCAACGGCACAAAGGCACCCGAAGGTCTCCTCTTTTGCGCCGCCGGCTACCCTTGTTGCCAGAGAGAATCTTTCCGATGTGATGCGGTCTCCTCCGCTGATCAACCTTGTCCCTCCGGAGCCACCATATCCGCCGGATTCACCTTGTTTACCTTCACCACCTCTTCCCGTTCCACATCCTCGACAATCTCCATATTCCGTTCAGTTCATGAGAACCTCTCTTGGTCCATCCTTTTGGGCTAGCTTTTCCTGCGAAACTCTTACTCCATCCGACCCTCGATGTTACTGCTTTCGTGACTAGTGAATCGGAGTCACTCCTATGCGAGTCCTTACTGCCGAGTGCAGTCTCTCTCCAGAGCCTAGCCACAAACATCATTCGACAAGGTTTGATTTTTGCTCTTTCTCTCTGGTTTGTTGCTGGTAATTTATATCTGAATATGATATGTATTTTGACACTTCCTCTTGCTGGATTTGGGAAGCGCTGCGTCAGCCTCAACTTGTGATATTCCCAAGCTTAGTAACGATTATTGATGAAGGAAAGATTGCTCGTGTAGTTATAGGAACAAAATCTGAGATGGTATATTCCCTCGGGTTGTTGCTTGTGACTCTCTATTATCGCAACCGGTGCGTATTGTTCTTACCTCGTGTCGAGGTCCTTACTAGCATCCGTCTAGTTCCTATGGTTGCTTTCGCCTTTGTGCGAAACTTTACTGCTTTATGCAGGCTCTGTTTTCGATTGTTTGGTACTATGAAATTCTTGTGGCTGGATAAAATAATTGTTCTTGATATTGCTCTTTTTCCAGTTCATCTGGATCATTTGGGCTTATGTTGCATTGACTTCTCCATTATGGAGTTTGTTGTCCTCTCTATGTTTCGGTGTAGGGATGTGGTGAAGATTTCCGAAGCTTTCATCGCCATCTTGTTCAAAGGCTCATCAAATCAGTGGTAATCTGCGTTTGTAGCCAAAATCTTAATTGGTAATGTTGTACTAGTTGCAACTCCAATCAGGGCATTCGATTATCTAGTGTGTTCATTAAATCCCATGGCGTCGTCTCTCCTCTTAGCAACAATGGCGTTGAGCTCTTCTTCGACTTTGTTTGTTCAAGGATTAAGCTCGCATCTATCTTCTATGTGTTATGTTTTGCTTTTGTAATAGTTTTCTTGTGGTCCTATGTGACTTTGTGTCCATGGTATGTAAACACTTGCTCCTTTAATGGAGATTAGTTAATCTATGAAAACTTTGTGACAAAAAAAAAAATTAACAACTTAAATTAAATTTAATATTTAAGAATGTTACATTTTTAATAACTTATTTTCGAATATTGTTGAGTATTAAATATATTGATAGTATCTTATTAAAATACTCTTAATAATTTTTTACTAGTTCAATATTGTCATTTTTTAATAGAATTTAATTATGTTATTAAAATTAATGTTTGAAAACAAAATTGAACTAAGTGGAGGCAAGTATAATATGGGTCTTTTCATGGGTATCTCATTTGAAAGACTTTTTCCATGAAT